GAGCACTTTTCATATTCTTTATCCTGGCTGAAGCACATTTGTTTCAATCTATAACAATAATCAGCCGTCCTACATTACCAGTCAAAAGTTTTTGAACAGTAAGATTTTGAATGTTTTTTAAAGAAGTCTCTTCTGCTCACCAAGCCTGCATTTATTTGATCCAAAATACAGCAAAAGCAGTAATATTGTGAAATATTTTTAATATTTAAAATTAAAAGTTTTCTATGTGAATATCTGTTAAATTGTAATTTATTTCTGTGATCAAAGCTGAATTTCAGCATCATTCCTCCAGTCTTCAGTGTCACATGATCCTTCAGAAATCATTCTAATATGCTGATTTGCTGTTCAAGAAACATTTTTATTATTATTATTATTATCAATTTTTAAAACAGTTGAGTACATGTTTCTTCAGGATTCTTTGATGAATAGAAAGATCCCAAGATCAGCATTTATCTGAAATAAAAAGCTTTTGTCATTTTATACACTATACCATTCAAAAGCTTGGAGTCAGTATATATTTTTTGTTGTTGTTGTTGGAAGGAAATTATAGAAATTAATACTTTTATTTAGCAAGGATGCTTTAAATTGATCAAAAGACATTTATAATGTTACAAAATATTTCTATTTCAGATAAATGCTGCTCTTCTGAACTTTCATTAAAGAAACCTGAAAAAATGTATACTCAGCTGTTTTCAACATAATAATAAATGTTTTTTGAGCAGCAAATCAGAATATTAGAATGATTTCTAAAGGATCATGTGACTGGAGTAATGATGCTAAAAATTCAGCTTTGAAATCACAACAATAAATTACATTTTAAAATATATTCACATAGAAAACAAATAGTCAAAATATTTCAAAATATTGCTGCTTTTGCTGTACTTTGGATCAAATAAATGCAGGCTATGTGAGCAGACGAAACGTCTTTAAAAAACTTAATGTTCAAAAACTTTTGACTGCTATATATTTTACATTTAGTCATTTAGCAGACATTATTTTATCCAAAGCGACTTACAAATGAGGACAACGGAAGCAAATCCACAAGATAATTCAAACGAAAAAGATTTAATCTCGTTGGTTGAAGATGATCTTTGCTTTTGGGTTCTATTTGCCTTGATTAAGTTGAGATAACATAATTCAAATGCGTGGAAATGTGTGTCATAATTATATTAAGTTATACCAACGATTTATTTTTTTGAGTGTGTGTGGGCTGTTGGCGTTCTGCAGAAACGTCCTCAAGTCCTTCAGAGCGGGTCTGAACATCTGGATGAGGGCGAGCAGGGCGGCCTGCGTTCCCTCCAGAGCCTGGGCTTGTCTCTCCTGAGCGCAGGCCTGGGCCTCCTGCGAGCGGCGGATCATCTGCAGCAGGTCGCTCTGGTTCTCCAGGTGCTGGGTGATCTCGCGCACATGCAGGTTGGTGACGCGGTGCTCCTGCAGCAGTTTGGCGGAGTTGAGCGTGATGCGGCTCTTCAGTTCCTGCGGTTTGCACTCGGCCTGCGCCGCCAGCATCTCCAGCGGAGCCTCTGCGGTCACGGTCACCGGCGTCTCGGTGGTGCAGTACTCCACCATGCCTTCCTCCAGCGAGTGGTACGTCGTCTCGGCTGTGCAGGAATAATCACACATGGGTCAAAGACATTAAGATGTCCGCATCAAAAGACATTTACAAAAGTGATTTTATGTCCATAGAATTAGGGCTGCACGATTATGACAAAAATCATAATCGTCGATTATTGTAATTGTGATTATTAATTACGATTATCACAATTTACATTGAATGATGTGTAGCCTACACCATTGCTTGACGCAACTGCATGCCGTATTTTTATATGAAAATAAACAAGCTGAAAACTCTCTAAATTAAAAAACGTTTAGTGCTTTTCTATAGTATTAAGCCTCAAATGTCAACTATACATCGGATTGGTTTCTTCTTTAAATTATAAAAAAAGTAAAAATATGAATGGTATTATAATGTTATACTAAAACTAAAATTAAAACAATGGAAAAACCCTTAAAATAAGATGTAGAAAGAAAAAAACGCATCTTAAGCACGCAGAATAACATAAGTGGACTTTGAACGATTAATTGCCGCTTTGAACGATTACGTAATTGTGGCATCCGTAATTGTAATCGCGATTAGAAATTCGATTAATTGTGTAGCCCTACATTAAATGTAAGCGAAGTGTCTACTTTTAAGGTGTCAAATAATTTTTGGAGAATAAAATGTCGAAATAATGTTACGTTGTCATTCAGTGTAACACAATATTTATGTCAAAATTCAAACAACATGCTTATTCTGACGTGTACATATTAAAATATATAAAAGAATAAGGGAGCATATTAAATTTGATTGTGTTTTAAATGAGTAAAAAAATGTTACTGACAAATGGGCAAAACCTAGGATAGTGGCAAATTTTAAAAATGTAAAATCACAACTAATTAGTATCTGGGGTGAAAGTAATTAGTATTTTAATATGTCATAAATTGATTTTTGTTGTACATAAATATGCCTGACAAGATTGTTACACTGAATTACATTTTAGTGGGTGTCTTCTGTAAATCAGGGCGAAATGTATATTTATTTTTTGCTCAGAAAAACAAAAACAAAATTGCAATTAAATTAAACAGATTTTTTTGGGGGGGGAAAAACAACAACAATTTGAAGCAGTATTACACTTATTGTTTTTATGCTTAAACCCTTTTTCGTCTTTGACCTATGTATGTATTGTTGGACTGTTGTTTTAGAGCGAATAAAGCCAGTACAGACACAACAAGCCTGTGCGTTATTATGAACCATATTCATGTTATTATCATATACAGACTCAGTGACAACTGTGAACGAACTGTCTCATTAAGAAACAATAATTCCCCTGGAAATGATTTTCCGGGGGATTTTCACAACATCAGAGACAAAAGTAGCTGTAAATAATGCACAAGATATCAGAATACAATAAATGCTCTGCTAGAAAATATTTGTTCATGACAATTCTGGGGGGGGGGGGGCAACAACAATTTAAAGCAGTATTACACTTATTGTTTTTATGGTTAAACCCTTTTTCGTGTTTGACCCGCACACATATGTGACCCTCAGTTTGGGAAGTAACATGTAACTAAATTCAGAGATGCAAACAGGTAAGGGGGAAAAAAAGGTGAGAACAGTGCATGGATCGGGGGCATGCTCCACGCGGAATTTCTTTTAAAGATATTTGCTTTACATGCTCATTTAAGGTATTTTTTTTAAATATTTTTATTATGTCCAAAACTGTAATTTTTCAAAAAAAAAAAAAAAACATTTTACAAAAATCAAGATTGAATATGTTTGGTCAAAATCCCATGTTATAAAAGATGAAGTGCTATGCAGGCTATTTAAGACAATATTGGCTGATTAGACGGCAATGCTGACCTAAAATGCAAAATATTTGCCCTTTCTCTCTTCATCGTTCCCATATCTCAGACCTCAAATAGGAAAATATTACTGTTTTTTTAGACATAGTTTTTGAAGTAAGGAGTAAAGAAAATACTATGCAAAACTTATTGAAACAACCCGTTCTTTATTTACCCTTGTAAGACCCCCCCCCCATAAAAACACTTTCTCATTGGATCCAAGCAAATCTCATAGGTGACCTATTTTGATCTCAAAAAAGTGAGTTGCCACTGAAAGGTGATGAGTTTGCATCGATGTAAATTAAGTAATTTACCTTTTTTTTTTCAACTGCTTGGACACATTTCCAAAACTTTACACGCAAATCCAAAAAAGGCCTCACAAACACATCTCAAAAGCAAACATTTACACACACCTTTGCCATAATATTAATTCCTCTTAGATTTTTGTGTGTTGCATAGAGAATTGTGTGTTGTGTTTTGCAAAAAGTGTTTTATGAAATTGAAAACTGAGTCAAAGGCCCAGAATTAGTGTATGGTTTTGCAGATTTGGTGTGAGGTTCTGCTGTTTGAGTTGAAATTGTGTGACAAGTAAAGATTTTGTGTGTAAGCAGTTGAAAAAAAAACTGTAATTACAAAATAAATGTAATTGTAATCAGTTAATGTGTAATTAAATTACGGTTACTTATGATAATGTTAACGATTACAAAGGGGGTTGCATCTGAATTTTCTCACACACATACAGATTTAATTGATTTCTTTCATAAATTGCATTGACTTCTCTAAAATATGAGACACCAGTGTTTCAGGAGTTTAGTACACAATATAGGACACATGCTTATTCAATAACTCTTTTATTTACAATTTGGGTTTATGTATGTCCTTTGTTTTTTAAGATTAACTGTTTTTTTTCCCAAGGCATGGTTAGATGCCAGTGTTTCCTGTCATAACTATGCAAAGATTTAATTTCAAAAACAGTATCATAGCTCCTAAACTATTTCTTGTTATGATTTTGGAAATCTGTATTTAACCTCCGAACGATCTCAAAGTCTGATTTTGTGGTGGCTGTGCTTTAAAATTAAATTATTATAATCTTAATTCAAGTGATGAAGGATTTGGAAAGTGACAGTAATCAGTGTTGAGCGCTACAGTAAGGTTAACCCTGCCTGCTTTAAATGTTTGAATGAGATTAACAGTTGAAAACATTAGAAATTTGGAAAGGTAATCAAATGTAATCAGTTACATTAATAAAGCAATTCAAATAGTTACACAACTTAATACATTTTAGATAGGGTAACTTGTAATCTGTAACCTATTACATTTCCAAAGTAACCTTCTGAACACTGCTGACCCTGGAGCACAAAAGCAGTCTTAAGTCGCTGGGGTATATTTGTAGCAATAGCCAACAATACATTGTATGGGTCAAAATTATCCATGTTTCTTTTATGCCAAAAATCATTAAGATATTAAGTAAAGATCATGTTCCATGAAGATATTTTGTAAATTTCCTACTGTATATATATCAAAACTTAATTTTTGATTAGTAATATGCATTGCTAAGAATTTCATTTGGACAACTTTAAAGATGATTTTCTCAATATTTTGATTTTTTTTGCACCCTCAGATTCCAGATTTTCAAATAGTTGTATCTCGGCCAAATATTGTCCTGTCCTAACAAACCATACATCAATGAAAAGCTTATTTATTCAGATGTATTCAGATGTATAAATCTCAATTTCAACAAATTAACCCTTATGACTGGTTTTGTGGTCCAGGGTCACTACTGTGCTTTTATAAACAGAAAATAGGCTTAGATGAAGATCATAAGTCAAGCTAAAATCGTACCTTCAAGAGTTTTTATCTCACACGCAGCTGCTGGCTGAATGCCTATGAAGAGAGAATCGCATTTTTATTTCAATTTTTAAAACTCAAAATATAAGTTATATTTTGCAAGTTTTTCTTGCAGTTTTGTGTTTTTTATTTGGACTTTCTTGCATATTTTGATTTTATAGCTCACAATTTGAAAATTTTCCCTTCACAATTCTGAGGTTATATCTCAATCTCAGAATTTTGACTTTTTTTCCCTCACAATTTTGAGTTTATATCCTACAATTTGGACACTTCTTTTCTCTAATTTTAAGCTTATATCCTGCAATTTGGACTTTTTCTCACAATTTTGTGTATATATCCTACAGTTTAGAATTTTTTGCAATTCTGGGTTTTTGTTTCACAATTTGGACATTTTCTCACAATTTAGGGTTTTATTGCACAATTTGGACTTTTCTCTCACAATTTTAAGATTATATCTTACAATTTTGGACTTTTTCTCACAATCCTGGGTTTTTGTTTTACAATTTTGACTTTCTTTCTTACAATTTTCTTTTGGAAAGGACTTTTCTGAGAAAAAAGATCAGAATGGCAAGATATAAACTTTAGTTTATTATGAAGGTTTTTACAAATGGGTTTGTTCATATGTCAGTAACCTGATTTATATAACATCTTACGTCTTTAAAAAAACTGATTTATTAGTGATTCTGATTTATTAGTGATAAAAAGAGAAACCCAAAATTACCTCTGTAAAAAATCATTACTTCTAATATGTCAACAAATAAAACACGAATTTTGAACCTGGTTTAATCCAATGTTCAGAGCTCTGGAAAATGATGCAAATTAATGCATATTAAACTAGCTAATGTATCGTTTGCATATTTAAACATAACATTTCAGTAAAATGGAACAAAAATTTTCAGTTTTGTTAATGAATGCGTCTTAATGTACTGAGGTTTTATTTCTTGGTTTCATTTTGAAAGAGTGTTTGTTGTGAATATTTAGATAAGGTTACTTTGTTACTACATTTTTTGTTTAGCTCAGGAAGCATTTAAACCTGCATGGCTGCCTGTCGTGGGAAATCTACTAACCCTCTGATAAAAGTTGATCTAGTTCACCAGGGCCGTTTCTAGGCATAGGCGAGCTGTATCCAAATCAAAATGTAATACAGTTAATTTATGTGTGATTTATGTGTAAATTATGTGCAATGTCTTAGCCACTAGGGATTGTTACATAGGGCTATACAGGCATCTAGTGGCAACAGGGGGGCAATAGGAATTTCGCCTAGGGCGTCAAATTGGCTAGAAACGGCCCTGTAGTTCACATATTTACACATGTTGGAGGGGACTTACTGTTGTTCAGCATTAGCTTATAAAGCTTACATTGAAATTTTATTAATTAAATGCTTACATTTTTTATAATCTGTCTCTAAATGTTTGTATTTCAGGAGATACGTCGCTCTTTTAGGGGTATAAATCAAGATATAAAAACTTATCTAAAATAGACTCTTGAGATTTTGTTGCTTGTGTTTTAGAAAATCAAATCTTTTTGTAATCTTGACAAAACCCATATCATTGGAAAGGTCTGACAGTCAAGGTTCCATATTTGGTGACTTTTTTGTAATAGAAGTGATATTGTGACAGAAAACCGCAGCAAAAAATTCAATGGAGTTTGGGTGTAACCCAGTGGTTATTTTGGTATAGTGCCAAAAACTTACAGGAACCACAATTTTGGTGATATCAACTTCAAATTTGGAACATAACTTGGTTAGACATATGGCTTTGATTTTATAGAAATTTTAGAGTGCAACATATTTTATCTTTTTAAAAAGAGACCAACCTTAGGTCTGTATTCCAAAGCGTTCAGGAATTACAACCATGTTAGCATTGATAAACAAGTGTTCTGTTTTTAGTGAATTTATACCTCCAAAGAGGCGACGTATCCTGGGGGATTCAAACATTAAAATCAAAAACAAGAGTCAGCATGCGCGCGCTATCACTGAACGTAATCAACGTTTTTTACGTTCAGTGGATACTCTCCAAAATGGCGGAAGACGGTAACTCGGGTAGAAGAATTGTTGAATAAATTATGTTATTATTGTTTTCTTTGCTTGCACACAAAAAAAGTGTTCTCGTAGCTTCGTAAAATTACGGTTGAACCACTGATGTCACATGGACTGTTTTACCGATGCCCATACGTTTCTGGACCTGGGAACATTGCAGTTGCGTTGCTGTCTATGGGAGGGTCAGAGAGCTCTCGGATTTTATCAAAAATATCTTAATTTGTGTTCTGAAGATGAACAAAGGTCTTACGGGTTTGGAACGACAAGAGGGTGAGTAATTAATCACAGAATTTTCATTTTTGGGTGAACTAACCCTTTAATTTGACACTTTAGACTGTTAATAAAGTGGGATGTTGCAGTTTAGGGTCAGCGATATCTTTATCTTATCTAATTTGCAATAGATTTGAAAAAAAATTATTTTATTTATATATTTTATTTTTTTATAGGAATATCTGGCAACACTGCATCGCCGGCACTTGAAACGACAGTAACCAAAAAAGCCCATGGACAGATTATTACTGACAGGAAAGCACATTCAATTAAGGGAAACGCATAAAAATATAATGATATTATCTCTCAGAACCGTTATCAACGCTATCAAAAACAGTAGCATTTAACACTAGTACACAGATCTGTAGAACTAGGTTACAGAATGAAATACAATAGCTTATGCAAACAATAGCAATGAAGAAGTCTATATTATGTCATTCAGTATAGTAGTAACATTTTCACAAATCATGCAAAAAACATTCATAAGAGCACTAGACAAAGTTATCATCTATATAGCAATGGTTATTAATAAAAACTACAACAGTAATATGTACTGTTGCATGATCAATAAACAACTAATACAATTATCCAACCCTAACCTAATAGTAAAATGATTGATGCAATAAATATAGTATAATTTCATCCCGTTCATCCCTCCAAAAAAAAGAGAAATCATCTTTCAGAAATATCTACATGTCTGTTTCTTTTAAAGTGTTAGTGTATATAATGAGTTGTATTTTGCAGGGGTTATTACCCCAGACCTCACTAATTTTCAAACCCTGGCTACGGCATGCCTAAGTGAGTGTGGGAGTCTACGAGTGTGGGGTAATATAAAATTGCGTAGAATACGTAAAAACAGTACGTTTTTGTCCTGATACAATTGCGCAGCGTAATGACTTCTTGAATCGACTTCTCTTCCAACAACAACGTTTGCGGACGCAAATGGCTGAAGTCCCGCCCATTCGTCGCCTCTTACGAGTCCCATTGGCTTAGATTTGCCATTGTCGGTGACAGAGCTTTCTTTTTTATTGGTGGAAACTGTTATCAGTTATCAGAAATTACCACATCCTACATGTGCGCTAGAATTATGACGTATTCTCAACCACAGGAGGGAGCTGTTTAATAACAAAGATATAAGAATATATATATATATATATACAGTATATATATATATATTTACATTACATTTAGACATTTAAGAAAACAAATGGATAGAATACAAAAAGATTAGAGAAGCAAGTGTTATCTTTTTTTAAGAAAACAAGCAGATAGTAAATAAGTCTAAAAGGTGCAAGTTTTTTTTTATATATAAAGAATAGAATTAGAATAGAGAGTGCTAGAGTTAGAGGGTCAAATAAAGATGGAAGAGATGTGTTT